CCCCCCCAAACCTCTTGTATTGCATGACAATACTATCATGAGGCTGTGTTACTCACCTTCCTGATGCCTTCAGCATGCGTATCCTGTGCTGGGATCAAGCTATTTTTATCTCTTTCTTCCATAGACTGAATTTGCTTGACAATTTCATTCTCATCTCCAGTCGCCACTATCCCAATAGCCTTACCAAAATTCCAGATTCTTCCCCCATATTTTGTTTGCATCTAGTTTAGGCCCCTTGTTGCAATTTGTGATGGCACTATCAAAGACCAATTCACCTGCAAAAGGTTTTGACGAGTTTGGGTAGAAATTCGGTATCTTCTCCATCATCTTTTTCTTGAAGCTGGACTTCAATTTCTGCTTTCTTTGAGATTCGTCTACAGCAGCTGTTGGGGCCTCTTTGTACACTAATAGGCACGATCGGTGCCTACCTTTTTTTCTTTTTCCTCTTTTTCAGCCTCTATCTACCCCATCGTGTCATCCAATCTGCTGGTTGTCCCGAATCACTCTCTAATATACCTGACAATTTTTTACACAACCCGTTAACCCGCCCATTACTCGCTTGTTTAAAACGAGTTAGGCTCATATATTTATTACTCGTGACCCGTTAATGACCCGTTAAGAGAACCCAATGGGTTACGGGTCAATAACGAGTTGACCAATCAGATTAACGGGTTTGATCCGTTTACCCGTTTAAAAATATAAAATTTTTTAATTTATTATTTATTTATTTATTTTTCCAATTCCTAATCCCACCTAAACCTCTAATAATTGACTAATATTTCCTAATTAACTAATTGATTCTCTTGACTCATCATCTTCTAGAAGTAAAAATAATCCCACTCCACTCATAACTCACCTTCCGACTTTTTCTATTCTTATTTGCCCTAATACTCTCAAAGACTCTAACTCTTCAAACTTCAAACTTTTTTCATATTCTTCAACCTCCATTGTTCATACAGCCTTTGACTTTCAAGTTTCGACTCCACCTTTTCTCTTTAATCTTTAACATTATTTCAAACTTAAATCTTACTTTTATCCAGTCACCGTTGCGTTCACTCAGCCTTTTCTTTTTTTCTCCTATGAGTCCGGCAAGTGCTCTTTTTGTCACCAACTTTTCTCTCTAAATACTTTAAGGTAAGTTGTTTACTTATTTATGCTTTTTAGTTTTCTTTCCATTCCAAGTAAAAATTTTACTTAATTTTCTCCTTTACTTACTTAGATGCATTCAATTGATTATTCTTTGAAAGCAATGACCAAAACAAATATGTTCCAATGGAGTTTGTGTTTTTTGGTTGTTATGCTACTGTTGCTTTTTTTTTTTTTCTATTGAGATTTATAAGTGTTGTGTTTTTGAATTTGATTAACGCTGTTCTTTGAAGAAAAATAAAGAAAGTGATTCTGAGAAACTATAAATATGTATATATTAAATTAATAAAAAAAATTATTTTTAT